TTGATTTACCTAAGTTATGGCGTTGTCGTTAACTTGAAGATGGCTTGCGGCTGGGGATGAAAACCGATGGGTAAGTTGTATTTCTTGGAATAGTTTGTTATCTCAAAACGAATGGCCATAAGAAGCTGTTGACTCTCAGCCACCGATTTGTTGCCCCTGTCTGTACCACAGGTAATTGACTCCCTGTAAATACCTATGGTAAGAACTCCACTATAGCCTATGCAGAACAAATGGTGATTGCGTGGGGTGGGGGACGTAGCCTCGGGTAGGTCAAGGCTCTGGTGAACTCTGAACACTAGGTCGTGGGTGTCAGCCACGATTAACTTTGACCACGGCGGGGTTAGAACCCGCACCAGTAGCGTGGAGTAGCGTGGAACTCCTCCTTCCCAAACCACTGAGCCAATCTGCACCTTGACCCAGTTGACTATGCAACCTAACCTATAAGTAACTGCAATACAACTCCACAACATATAAAATATGCATCCTACAAACGTAGCCGCAACATCACTCGTCAAGACTCCAAGCTGACATTCTGCATCACTACCACCCCAGTCGGGAATTAGGTCACCAAGGGGTTGGACGTACCTACCACCGAATTTGACGGTACTGTCATTGGAGAGGTTTATTCCGAAGCGTATAGATGTATGTGGGTACTTGTGTGGACAGTAGAAGACGGGGAAAGAAGGGTCTACCATCCAAGGGAACACCCAGGGAAATGTCGAAGCGACTTATCCTTTCCATATTATAGCATGGATCATATTCCCTCTCTTTCCAGGTCGCACAGAGGAAATACTGAACTACTGATTTGGGTTGACTTGTTCACTGGATACGTGATGGCCAATTCTAGTGGGTCGCGGAGGTCAAGACGATAACGAAGGAGGTACAAGATGAAGGTTTGGTTGAGCCAATCGAAAAGAAGGGAGATAATCGGGATCAAGTTAAACGAGAGCTGCGGACAAGTAGCTAATATTCTCGTGGATAACCAAAAAGCGGCAACAAGACTGAATACATTCATTCGAGTTTAAAACATTCCTAGCGGGTATCGTTGATACGTGTCCTGAACAAATGAGACGTTGACACTATGGTGTCATTGCACTAAGATATAGGGTGTAACCATGACGTTGTTGAAAGTCAAAGAAGCTATCAACAAAGCTGAATGGAATATCAACTCATTCGACGAGAACGAAAATTACAAGCGCATTCAACGGTTGGCTTTAATCTTCCCATGCACTAAAGATTAAACCCTCACCCATTCTATGTGCTTTGCTTTTGCCACTCAACTGTTCAAGAACGCGCTGCCCGGCTCACTAATATATTCAAGTGTTCCCAAAAGTGATGGTGCCCGGAACCAGCTTGCACAGCCTAACTCTTTGACAATCACTCATCGCAATCTGGACTGCAAGAGTTTGGTTGGCTTCAAACTTATGCAGCTCAAGCCATAGCCAAGAAAGTTGTTTCTGCCCGCCAGACTTGTTGTTTTTGGCCACCGCTTGGCTCCGTATGCAAAGATGTAGTTAAGAATCTGCTTTGGTTGCATATGTCCTTCCAAATTTCCTGTCTGCGAAATAAACGAGATGTAGCTGCTGAACAAGCAAACAAACATCAAGACACCAAGCTGTACGATTGACATAGTAGACAGGCACAAAAATCAAGCAAACGTTAGAGTTTCTTGGCAAGTTACACTCTTTCCAACATGCCTTCTTGTTTCCCAAAACACGCTCAGCAAAAATAAGACAGTGCTGCTGCTCAGCAGCAGCTAAAGCTTGTGCCAAGTTTAACATTGCCGTGACGATCCAGTTCTCAGCTCTACTTGTTGGCCTTGGCAGCCTTGTGGCGAGCGATACGACGGCCAACACCACGGACTTTCTTGGCACGGTTCTTAGCCTCCTTAATCTGCTTGCGCGACGTCTCAACCTTCTCCACAAGACCCCTGACGGATCAAACGGTACTTAGGCTCAAAGCGCTTGGCATCATTCACCGTATCATACACTAGACCAAAGCCTGAACTCTTGCCACCACCAAACTGCGTACGGAAACCGTACAGAAACACCGTGTTTGGATCCTTCACCTTGTACATCTGCATAAATAGAAGCAATTTTGTTAGCCTAAAATCCCCGCAAACCATCTGTCAATTAGCTATCTATTAATCTCATTCAGTCAATCAGCTCTTTCTACTCTCTATCACTTGTGCATTGTCATTTTCAAATGCTCCGCTGATAATCTTAACACTTGAATATGTTGGTTTCCTCTCTGATACCAATTTCTTTCTGATGCGTTTTTCATTCCATGACTGATTGACTGAAGGATTGACGGATTGATTAACTGACTGAGTAGATCTCTTAGTGACTGTAAATAGCACACACGATCTCTCTTTCGTATTAATGCATTTGAATACCTTAGCAAGTTTCTCTTGAAGCTCAGCTTTTGGTACATTAGGACGACCTGGATGAATTACTTCTACAACCTAATGATGGCAACATCAAACATCAAAGCAATTGAGATCACACACCGTTTAGATCACATTAACAGATTTGAATAAGAGAGAGACAGAATACCAAATAAACTGTGATCAAAATATACAGTATACGTATGTGTGTACCATTTGACGACGAGCTAATAAGCTGTTACGAAGAAATTTGCGCGTACGCACGGTCACAGGAATCTTATCAGCCATGTTTTAATGGTCTTTAACGTTTCAGTCACAAGAAGTTGGGCAGCGAGTGGGAATGAGAGATGACGACCAGCCAACTTAAGAGGCGAAAACCGTTCTGAGCCAACCAATTCATAGCTGTGAATTTGAACCAATGGTTACTTTAGACGTATCCGTCACTATACAATAGATTATGTATGGTAGGATATGCTAAATAAAGATTCCATATTGAGCATAACACCACACCTGATACTGATATTCATAAGATTTGGTTTAGAAGGTATACAGTATATAGCGGTTATGTGCTTTTAAAGAGATCATGGCTCATAGCAATGATAAGCAGTTTGCAATTAGTAAACTCATTGTCAGCAAATTCTTGCGTCAACATTCCTTAACACTTAAAAGTTACAGCTTTAGAAAAGTAAATGGCAATTCAATTTATTCCTCAGCCTCACTACTCATGGCCGTCAAATGCTTAAGCTTTTGGACACGAGCTTCGGCCTTCTTGGCAGCATTATCCGCAAGACGCATCTCCTCAGCCTGCGCCTGCTTGTGCAAGTCATCCAGGATTGACTGCTTATAGTCCTCAAACGTGCCGTCATACACTACAACGCCTTGATCACCACAGACCCATAGCACGCACTCCGTCGACTCAATCAGACGCGCGTCGTGCGTCACAATCACCACGCCACCTTCATACTCGCGAATGGCATCGCACAGCGCGTCAATGGACTCAATGTCCAAATTATTCGTCGGCTCGTCCAAAATCAAAATGTGCGGGCGCATCAAAATCAGCTCAGCAATCACTACACGGGCTTTCTGACCACCTGACAGCAGCCGGTTCTTGATCTCGTGCGCATGGCCTTCAAGACCAACCTTCCCGAGCAGGTTTCTCACCTGCTGGTACGACTGGTCTTGGAACAGGCGGCGCAGGTACTCCACAGGCGTCTCGCCCATCGGCAGCTTGTCCACAAAGTGCTGGTTGTAGATACCTAGCCGGACACGCGGGTTGCGGCGTACCTCGCCCTCCTTCACAGTCACCTCGCCCGTAATCATCTTCAGCAGTGTACTCTTACCCACACCGTTGGGACCCACAATACATACGCGTGATGTCGTGTCAATACCAAAGTCCGTGTTCTTAAACAAGTACGGACCGTCACCATAGCGAAAACTGGCGTCGCGCACCTCAAGAATGGGCGGCGGCACGACCGTAGTTTCGGGAAAGCTAAATTGCACAATGTACTCCTTTGGTCGTTCTAGAAGATCCACAGGGGCTGACGCATCCGCAGCATCGTCAGGCGTTACAGCCTTCTTCTTTATAGCACGAGCGCCTGGCTCACGTTTCTTTTTCACAATCTCACTAGCCTTCTTGGAGGACTTACCCGAAGCCTTAAGGTTACGAAGCTGCTTCTGCTGTTTCTCCCACGCCTTTTCCATCTGCTTCCGCTTCTGTTTCTCCATCTCACAAAACATATCGTAATTACCCTTGTAGTGGACAATTTTCTTGTTCTCAAGATGCAGCACCTCTGAGCACACGCTGTTCAAAAAGTCAGCGTCGTGAGACACCACAAGCAGCGTTTTCTTCCACTTCTGCAAATAATCGTCGAGCCAAATGACAGCGTTCAAATCCAAGTGGTTTGTCGGTTCATCAAGCATCAGCAGCGTCGGCTCGACATACAAAGCCTTGGCCAGGGAAATCCGCATACGCCAACCACCTGAAAAGTCTTTCGTGACCTTCTCCTGCATCGCTGAGTCAAAACCCAGACCGAAAAGAATGCGGCGTGCGCGAGCTTCTGCAGCAGACGCGTTCATGTGCGACAGCTGCTCATACACCTCGTTCAGCCGGTCGTCCAAAGCCGAGTCCTGCTTGGTTTCCAGCTCGGTAAGAAGGTGCTTCTCTTCCTCCAATAGCGCCCAGCGCTCGGCGTCAGCCATCAGTACAGCGTCTACAGCTCGCGTGTCATCGGCCACGACTTCCTGCTCCACATACAGGCAGTCAATCTTGGGTGGGATTTTAAGCTCCCCGAGCGCAATCATCTTCAAAATTGTGGTTTTACCCTGACCGTTTGGACCCACAAGGCCGTACTTGCCACCAGCATTTATGTGCAGCGACGCGTTATCGTACAACAATTTGTTGTGCGCGTTTATGCTAAAGTTTTCGATATGGATGTCAGTAGCGTTCTCCCAGTTTGAATCCTCCGTGAAGGCCTGCTGCGACACAGAAAACTGCGCGCCGTCCATAGGGTTAGCGGCGCGAAAATACTCTTTCTCACGTTCCTGACGCCCCTGTTCCTCTTTAATGCGCTTGCGCTCCTTATTACTGAGACGTTTACCATCTTTCTCCTTCTTGCTCTTCTTTTCTGTCTTCTCCCCACTTCTTTTCACCTCATCTTCCTCATCTTTTGGATCAAAAAGAAAATTTAATTTCTTCTTTTTCTTCTTCTTCTTGTCCGTCACCTCTGTCTGGTCAATCGGGTCAAAAAAATAAATCCGTCGAGATGATTTTCTTCTTCTTTTTCTTCTCTACAACAAGCTTCAGCTTGATCTCTTTCTCTTTTTCTTTGCCACTTTCAATCTCTTCCGCCTCTTTTTTCTCTATGTCTTCTTTTTCTTCTTCTTCACTCTCACTGTCGTTCATTAGAGTAGCAAAATTCACGACATTCTTCTTCTTCTTACTCCTCTTCTTACTCAAAGTAGAAACCACTTGATCGTATGCATTTTCCTCTTTCTCCTCTTCTACTTCTTTCCCTTGTTCCTCTGCATCTGAGGCCGTACAATGACTCGCCTGCTCTTCCTGAGTCTTCATGCCCTGACGCTGTGCTTTCCGCGTCTTCAGCTTCTTCTTATGCGCTGCCTTCTTATCATTTTCACTTAGTGATACAGGCACCACAAATAACGCTGCCTCTGGGTCAGAATCATCGCCTTGACGACCTCCTTTTTTCTTGCCACGAGCCATGAACGCCACTCTTCGATGTGTATTTCGATACTAAAACTTAGTAATCCATCATGACTGGACAAGCTCAATAATGACACGAGATGAGGTTTTAATTGGGTAAAATAAAACTGCTAATTTCTAATATGAAAATACGGCTAATAAGGAGACTAAAAATACCTGCTGAGTCTTTATAATGAGGTTATCTACATCAGTTTTGTAAGAAAAAGATTTATTAGCACCACTTAACGCACAATGATTAAAGCGATGATGTAGCCATTTGCTTCAGTGTAGCCACTTCGCTGCAAGTTGAAGTTATATGAACCATTCAGCAATTGACTCTTTCAACTTAAGCAATTTTGATCGAGTTTAATGCATCAATGACCATCATGCTTCCTTTTTGCCCATTGAAGCGGTACAATCAAGCTATATACCTCAACCAGTGCAGCAAGGGGCTCGTAGCAGCAAGCGCGGCCTACAAGGCGCATAAACCAAATTGCATATAACCTGCTAAGGTACTAAACCTGTTGCCGATTGGGTATGACCAGTAATCAGTTTGTTAGCACACATTCGGAGGAGTCAAAGCAAGTATATGCTATATCGCAAACTCTTTTGAAGTCTTTGAGTCGATGTGCATGGTATCAGCGGACGACTGCTTGTCAAATCTAATCACACAACCAGGTATGGTAAAACTTGAGGTCGTTCTTGCAAAAACATCAAAATTTGTTACGTACGTCTTCTACCTAGCGGACGAAGAAAAGGAATGATGAAGAGGATGACGAACGATCCGTAAGAATGAAGCTTAACGTGAAAACAACTTGTATTCGCAACGACAAAGGAAAGAATGATGCGAGCTACAAAGTCGAGTACGAGAAACAATTTAATTCCCTTACAGAGATATCAGCAAGATCCAAAACCATTGATTTTTCGTGACGAGCGACCTGAAGACCCTGGTCTGAGAGTGCAGAATACGTTGTGGCGGGATGAGCATTTGTTGTTAGAGCTTTCGTCCTTGTAGAAAGGAAGTGTAAAACTCATACTGGTCTCTTGGAGACGTGGTTGTTTACCAACAAAAAGAAAAGCTTGTAAAGCTAGCCTTGGAAGGTTTAAGAACCGTAAGACGTAAATCTCTTTGAGATTGTCTTAATCTGCACCTAGTGCAAAGGTATCTTCGCTACGGAGGCTCTGCTATTCCTGGTAGCACTTGTAGTCAATCCCGCACGTGGGTCTGCAACTACTTCTCTGTAGAAATGGACATCGAAAAGGTGTTCGTAATTAGCCTGTCACAAGCACAACAGAAAGGGTTGTAAATCTGCTCTCTATCCTTGGCCCAAAGGGCGTGGAAAACCTCATCGCCTATGGCGAAGAAGAGGTTAACAAGCGTATTCGTATGTTTAAAAAGTACAACGACGCCCACGCAATTTGGAGGTGGCAAGAGTTCAGGCTTTGGTCTAGTGTATGATACGGTGAATGATGCCAAGCGCTTTGAGCCTAAGTACCGTTTGATCCGTCAGGGTCTTGTGGAGAAGGTTGAGACGTCGCGCAAGCAGATTAAGGAGGCTAAGAACCGTGCCAAGAAAGTCCGTGGTGTTGGCCGTCGTATCGCTCGCCACAAGGCTGCCAAGGCCAACAAGTAGAGCTGAGAACTGGATCGTCACGGCAATGTTAAACTTGGCACAAGCTTTAGCTGCTGCTGAGCAGCAGCACTGTCTTATTTTTTGCTGAGCGTGTTTTGGGGGAAACAAGAAGGCATGTTGGAAAGAGTGTAACTTGCCAAGAAACTCTAACGTTTGCTTGATTTTTGTGCCTGTCTACTATGTCAATCGTACAGCTTGGTGTCTTGATGTTTGTTTGCTTGTTCAGCAGCTACATCTCGTTTATTTCGCAGACAGGAAATTTGGAAGGACATATGCAACCAAAGCAGATTCTTAACTACATCTTTGCATACGGAGCCAAGCGGTGGCCAAAAACAACAAGTCTGGCGGGCAGAAACAACTTTCTTGGCTATGGCTTGAGCTGCATAAGTTTGAAGCCAACCAAACTCTTGCAGTCCAGATTGCGATGAGTGATTGTCAAAGAGTTAGGCTGTGCAAGCTGGTTCTGGGCACCATCACTTTTTTGGGAACACTTGAATATATTAGTGAGCCGGGCAGCGCGTTCTTGAACAGTTGAGTGGCAAAAGCAAAGCACATAGAATGGGTGAGGTTTAATCTTTAGTGCATGGGAAGATTAAAGCCAACCGTTGAATGCGCTTGTAATTCCCGTTCTCGTCGAATGAGTTGATATTCCATTCAGCTTTGTTGATAGCTTCTTTGACTTTCAACAACGTCATGGTTACACCCTATATCTTAGTGCAATGACACCATAGTGTCAACGTCTCATTTGTTCAGGACACGTATCAACGATACCCGCTAGGAATGTTTTAAACTCGAATGAATGTATTCAGTCTTGTTGCCGCTTTTTGGTTATCCACGAGAATATTAGCTACTTGTCTGCAGCTCTCGTTTAACTTGATCCCGATTATCTCCCTTTCGAAACGATGGGCTTTCAACCAAACCTTATCTTGTGACATCTTTTTACAGCGATTCGACAGTGGAAGTATTAAAACGTTTGATTCTTATCGATCAAGTACTTGATGGCAAGCATTTCATCAGCTCGGAATTTTCATCGTCCACTTCAGAGGACACGCGCTGATGCAGCTCGATGCCACGTATGGGGATCGATGTAGGTATCATTGGCTTGCGACTGGAGAGCTGATCCATCTGTGCGTAAAGTAGGCTGTGTTTCATTGGCCGCCACAGATATACTCCAACTAACAAAATCACGAAGAACAAAGCAGGGCGAGTAGCCGCCCAAACAACCCAGTATATATATTGCCACGGAAACCAAACCACCCCTGAATAGCTGTGGGTATCCACAACGTCATCGAACTCCGTTACTACATTTCGTACCACAAGGTGTTAGC